AGTCGCACATCACCCTCTAATGTTCTCCGCTCTGAATTTGAAACAGGTGTTTTGTTCATTTTTGATCATAACTTAGCCATTTTTGGCGCTTTTCTAGTTATTAAAAATGTGGAGCCAATAGGAGAGCCTTTTTGTATCGAGTGCTTCCTTGCGCGGTCCAGTAGCCGTCCTATAAGACATTATCATATGGAGTAGGTTTGCCGTTGCTTTTAATTCCAGCTGGAGGAAGTACTTGAGTTTGTTTGTCAGACTCTGAGGCAAAATATCCTGTTTCCGCACGTGTTCTTCCATGGCCGTAATTTACGCGACTGTGTCAGCTGGTGTGTGCCACATTTCTGGGATGAAACAACCCACAAATCTCCCAAGAGCGCTCGAAAAAATTGGACACTAATGGCTTTTGAGAGTCATGACAGCCCGCAGACTTAGACCCAGGGCATTGCTTTGACCTATCCTTCCCTGGTTTGTGCTGGGATAATGATTTAAGTGCTCTAAGTGCCTATAAAGCAACATTTCCTAGCTGCAATATTTCCTAGCCCATGTGGTTTGCGGAGGACTTTTGAGTCGTGACACCCGTTCCCAAACTCAAAACGTGGATCCATGTTTCCACCATGGATTAAACATGCTTAGTGACTTTGCTTGTTTTAGTATAATCACTAACCTAACCCTTGAATTATTGGCTGTATCAACGGCCTATATAAGTTATATTTTAGTTTGAAAATCCAGCCCTGAATGTACTATTTTGCAATTGAGAGCGTATCCGCCCAAATAATGAAAAATGTTTTTTGTTGGTAGTTGTAGCCTACAACTACAGACTTCAAAAATTCAGGCATTAAGTGATTAATATAAATAAATACATAGTGAAACTATTTTATTTCTACAGGTATTTATGAAAATCTCATTCAGGCAGTGAGCCCATTTTCTGAGCACAATGCCTCAATTTACCGTAAAAATCTTATCAAAAGGCACCCCTTGTAGCGACAGTCCACTTTCACCAGCCAATCAAATACCCGGATTCTGATGATGTGTCATGACTTGTCAAAAGTCACCCCTGGAAATATAATACTATCAATCGTTTATTACTGATACCTGAGTACTGTGTT